TTTACTGTATGTGCAAGTTTTGCAGTGGACTTGCATCTTGATGGCATCAAATGTTGCTTTTTTAACTGCTCCTGGGAAAAAATTGTTGTTTTTTTGGTAAAATTGGATACTATTTCTACCAAACATTATCCACACCTTGAATTTGAATTTATGGAAGATGTTTAAACACAGCATGAACTTTAAATACAGAGGTAACAACATTTCAGTTGATGAAAAAATTGCACTGATTGTGAAAAAGTTTTATATACACATCTGAATTTCATGGCAGAAAAATAATGTGGGTAGTAACAAATGGTCCAAGGCCAAAACTGGACAGCCCTGGTCTACAGCAAACATTTCTAATAAACATTTACAAAAACAGCTTTTTTAAAAATTTATCCATCAAAGAGGTTCGAAAATGTTTATATTGCACAGAAAACTGCAGGCGATAAGCTTAACAGATTTGGAACATATAGACGCACAAGCTGAAGACAGACTGACCAATCTCGGTGTTTGCAGAGCCTTAAAAAAAAGATTTCAAACACAAATACCATAATAAGTTAAGAACAAAATTACACTTGAAATGAAAAAGATAAAACCTTTTTCATTTTTTACACTGCTCTGCCATCATTAGCTCAATGTATTAAAATAATTTTAAAAAGTGTATACTAAGTGGTTCTGTGACTTTTCACTGAATGCCTCAGACTTGCAGTGCACATTTGGTTAACATGGAAAACAATCAGTCTTCGTTTTCTTCATATGTGGTCTCATCAAAGGGTCGATCCAATAAAGGGACTGGTCTGTGCCGGGAATACTTCAGTTGCAGTAGATCTCCTACTTCGCTGATCACATTTAAAGCCTGAAAGCAAACATATTGCAATTTGGGTGTAGTTGTTACAATAAAATAATGAGAACACAATTAATACAATATATTACAATCAGTGTATAGCTGACTTAAAGAAGAAAGGTTGTTTCAAATGACAATATAAATAAAAGGGAGACGAGTCTAATCCAAGTCATTATGCGCATCATTAAATTTTGCCAAAGTTTTACCCATTTGATTTGGCATAATTAACATCACAGATGCTACACATATGCTAAGGAAGTGCTGAAAGGGTGGTAAAGCATTGAGCAAACAGCCACAGAACAAGAACACAGGACCAGATCAAGAGAGAAAGGAAACTATGTCTTGCTGAGCGTTGCCCTGAATAATCGGATGAAAACCAGACCAGTGCTGAGAAAAGATGCAAGGTCCTCACCCAAGAAGAATATAGTTAATAAGCCAAGACCATCAGAGGACATTCGGTGATGCACACTAGTGAATGGCAGTATAATTCCTGAGCTCCACTAAATCTCCTCTTTATGCGATATACAGCAAACTCTTTTGTATTCCTATCCAGCTGTATCAAACAACAATCCCTCATGTGAAACTAGCTTCACACAAAGCGTACTACACAAGTATTTCTGGGTAGGATGAATTATATTGCAAGAAGTACACACTAGGCTTTGTAAAGAAATAATGAATAGTATTTATTAATTAATAAATAATAAAGGTGGGCTAAGACTTTTGGACGACACTACTAAGGCCACCATGATGAGAAAGCCAAATCTGGTAACTGAGGAAGCACTTGTATGTTGCAGCACCTTTAATGCAAATTCTAATAGCAGTAACTATGGTTAATAATTAGCCAGATGAACATATAGAACATGGGACATTAAACCAAAGCTATTCAGAAAACAAACACCACAGCAATGCATTCCTTAACTGATTCAATACAAACCAAATTACAGAATATTGGAACACTTCTGCACAGCATATCAAAACAAGCAAAAGCCTTTTCTTTTATAAACTTTTATAATCGTGTAACTGAAAAGGGAAATTAATCTTTGCCAACATTCCTCCAAATACAGATCCAATATATTTTACTTCGTTTTTGCTCATTGCAGTTAAAGATCTTTTAATTAAGGTTTTACATGACTGATGGTTTTTAAAGAAGCCATGGAACAAATGAATTTCATGCAGTGTGAAGGAAAACTACAGCCAAGAGAAACTATTGTATCTGAGCAGCAGAGGATACCTTTTTACACTGCATTACTGAAACCCATGTGGAAGCAATTTGGAGTTTTGGACATAAATAAAATGTTAACCGTTTCATGAACTTGTATTTGAAATAAGTTATTTAAAAAAAAAGGTTCAAATGACGGGTTGCACAACAAAAGCAATTTTATTCTTGTGCAGGTCTTTATGAAAAGTGTAATATACTTTTCAGCACAACTAAATCTCTAGTCCATAGGGAGGCAGGTTACATATTCTTTGATCTTGTGCCAACAGGGTCAAACATGGAAGTCTCAGTTACACAGAACTCTCCAGCTCCTGGCTTGAAAGAAGCAAACCCATTGTGCAAGCTAAAAATTCATTGACAATCTTCCAATACAACTTGCATTCAGAGGTTTAACACCGATATTCTGTGTTACATTGCTGCATTTAATAAACCTTTTAAATTCTGCACTGGTACAATTAGTATACTTTGTCCCATGAACTACACAACCCAACTGCAAAAATCCAAATAAATTTTCTCATCCATCACCTGTGTTGACGGTCTTTCAACTTTTCATCTTTCAGCAAAGTCATTCAGTATGGCATAAACACTAGATGAAAGTCAGTGATGCACAAAACCTCACTTGCTTCTATTTCACCCAGGAGAAAGTGCTCATAATGAAGCATTAAGTAAGAAAGAATAATTTTACTCATCTATTAAAACAGAAGGCTCTTTCTAAATAATGTGAATCATCCCAATGAAAAGGACTAAAAGAACCCCATCTTAATGCAATAGAGAACCAGCTCTACTCAGAAAAGGCGACACTTCCCTATTCCTGCGTCATTCTTTCCAAAGACAACTATGCCACCAGACTAAATAATGCAGCTCAATAAACTTTAATTTTTGGGTTAATATGAGAAATTGGCTACTACGATCTTAATAGAAGAGGAGCCCCAGCCTCCAGTCAAAGAGCAATAAAGTTGTCAGGACAATCCTGAAATCTAATGCTCAATGGAGAAGGAAAACCAACAAATTCACATCACAAAAAATAAATGCATTGAACTTGAAACTAATCCTGCAGCAATTAAAACCTTCACACCTTGACTGTTCTGTCTGAAAGTAAAAACGGTAAACGTGACAAAAATGCATGGGAGTATCTTGATCCAGTGCGATTTATAGCTCACAGAACATGATACGTTTTAAAACTGTACAAGAAACAGTGCTTGTAGGCCAAACTTAAGAGGATATATAGTAGAAACCAGCGTTTCGATAACTGAATGTGGCTTGTGGATAACTCATGGCATTTCAGGTACAAGCCAATAACCGTTATGAAGACAAACAGCACGGTTCTCCACTTATGGACATTAACATCCACTTTAGAACAGGGAAGTAATTAAGTACTAAAATATACATATTGATGACTTTGCTGAAGATCATGAAGGGTCAGACAAGGCAAATGGATTCAACCTACACTTTGAAGAACATCACTAAATGAAAGCAGAAGAAAAAAGGTTTTGAGTAACAGAAGTTTTTAAAAAGACAATGTGAAAAACTTACTGTATCGAGCATTTCTTTGGTGTGAGCAGCAGATACACAAAATCTGGCCCTGGATTCAATGATTGGTGTGGCTGGAAAGCCAACGACAACCACTCCAATGTTTCTCTTCAGCATTTCTCTTCCGAATGCGCTAAAATTAAAAGCGAATAAATTAGAATTAAGTGTCAATTACTGCAGCAATGTGAACTCAGGGGTTTGAAGAATTTCCAACTTACCCAATTTTTGCAGGCATATAGAGCATCATGGGCACTACGGGCGAGTCATCATTTCCGTATATAATGAATCCCATCTCCCTTAGTTTTCTCCGAAAGTATCTAGTGTTTTCTGCAAGCTGCTGAACACGTTCCAAGCCTGAAAAACAACAACAGATTTGCGTACTTGTTCCTACTTCCTAAATACCAATGAAGTCCCCATTTCTTTCAAAGACCGTGCAAGTTTTCTAGGTGCTCATTTGTGCTGAAAGTCACAATGCGGTCCCATTTTTGGTACGAGAACTGTGGTGAAAAACACATCTGATAAGGATACGTCTTCCCCTCTGCTTACTCTGATTCACCTCCCAAATATCCAAATGTCAATATGCAGTACAATGGTATGCATGCCACCCACTAGCTTCTCACCAATTAAAATGCTCTGTGGAGTTCTATCTCATTCACAGCTTCTCACCTACAGCTGTTAATAAACTTTCTTTCAATATTGGATTAAGTGACCTAATTGTAAAATATTTCAAATAGTTTAAGCAACAATGAAACACAGCGCCTGCCTTTCCAACTCATCATAGCGATTGTTTTTCTCTCGTATGTGTGTTTAGCTTAATGTTCACCTGACCATGGACAATCACTGTTAGTGACTTATTCACAGTAGAAGTGAGAAATCTCAGTTCCAGAAAGAGTAAATAACAGATAACAGAGGAAACGTACAAGAGAACATATGGGACCAAAGTAAGGTTCCTCGGATCAGTCAGATGCACTGGTATTGTGAGCGATACTGGCTAGCAAATCAGCAATAGAACATAACATGTACGTCCCAAGATGAAGAATGATTTATATAACCTACTTGTAGGAATTCTTATACCATAAACCTTTTTCATATGTGCAATCAGATTGTGAAACATCTCATTATTCCTGCAATGTCGCTTTTACACCTAACATTCTTCGGCTGAAGAATGATCAACAATGTTGTAAGCCTTCATTTTTCAGATTTCAGAATTTTTTTCCCAAATACATTTGTCTCTACTTCAACTTGACTTAATTTCTTTTAGATTAATCCCCTTTGGCATGTGGCCATACTTGTCTTATTGCGCTCATTACTCAGGCTACTCATCTATCATTCTACCCACATTGCAAAGAGGTCACCAGTGGTCTTCACATAGCTTTGAACTGAGCCTCAAAACACAGGACCCCTGTACTGCTACTGTTTTTCCCTGACTTCGGAATACAGCCATCATCAACTGGTCTTTCACAAGACCTTCACATGCTCAAGCAATTAAATGCAACTTAGACCAAGTTAGCTGATGAAAAGATACCAATAGTGATCCGAGCAGCACTCATTTTGTATCCCATTTCAGAAACACTAACAACCACTGGCACAAATCCTCACATTATGGTCTGGCAAGTGTAACTGCTTAACCAAGTTCAGGCCAGCTTTAAGTATCAAAATAGCTACAATATGTTGACAAAGGGAGTCACGTCTGACTGCCGATTGTTTTTTAAAACTAGAAACTCCTAGTTTGTACACCTACCTTACAAGTTCAGCATTTACTGCAACAATTTCAAACATGCAATAGCATTGTACTTGGAATTCTTTTCAAGCTTATATGATTCCAGTTTCAAGATTCCCTTCTGCAAGAGTTGTGTGCACAGTTACAGTACAAGACACTACAGGAACACAATAAAAATAATATCAAACACACTCAACTCCATCCATTTTGGATGCACCAAAATAATCATGTCTTTTACAGAATAAAATTAAATAACAGTTAAAAATAAAAACACTTATTCTTGTTCTGGCAATATTTCAGTTGTAGTTTTCTCTTCTTTAAAACTACAACATTTCAGAATCCCTGTACCCATGTAAGCGATGTGACGTTGATGTAAATGTCAAGACGTTCCTTCATCAATCATCCCCTGCATGCGCAAAGAATTAGCTTTTCATTAAAAATGTATATCCTTTTGTATTTCAGACATTTGAACAGGCTATTTTGGCCAAATGCTATAGAAAATGGATTGTAGACTTTGGAATAATAAAGCAGGTTTTCAGTCATAGCAAACAGCAATCAGGATATAAAAGGTTACAAACAAGAGGAGGCCATTCAGCCCATCTGGCACTGAATGGGACGGATACCTGCATATAGGTATTAAATCATTCTGAGCACCAAGGTATAAAAAAAAAAAAAATCGGGTAGCCCATTATACTGTGTTCTTACAGCTACTGAAACAAGAGTAAAAGAAAGCAAATGTTCCTCTATTGCATGAAATGAAACCAAAATGCAATTGCTGATGAGCTGAAATATCAGTTATCTGATCCATTTTAAGAAAAGCGACTGGCTGTGAAATCCTTAATCTTTTCACGATCCTCATGAAAACTAGCTACTGACAGACACTCTATTCCAAAAGTCGTGCCCAGGTCATCCCTTCGGTGGCTGAAAATGACACCAGCTCTCTGTAATCCTAAACGCCTCATTTCACTTCTGAGCAGCCCCCGGTGAGCTAGTGAAACCAGGTCTGGCCAGTAACAACTCGCAGTCTTATCTCACTCTAGATTTGTAAAATAACTTAATATAAATGCATCCATCATTGTTTTATGATGGCTTTACTTTTCATATACTCTAAAATTCTTGTCTGACATGAATGATCTAAAGCACTCAAATAAAGGAGGAATATAAATCATCTGCTACAAAAAGCCATGCATGGATTAAAGATAATGAAGTAAAAAAAAATCTTAAGAAAGCTTTAATTCAACAGAGCCAAGACAAGAAAAAGGTGGTGTGATACTTAACTACGTATCAATATGTTTGAATATGAAGACCTGAGTTTCTCTCTGACTAGTAATACAAAAGATTTATTGATGTGCAAAATTCAAATCTTTTGAGAGCCATTACCGAATAGCTTTTCAATCCAAGTGCTGATCAGCTTCATAAACTGCTAGACGAACAAATGTATTAAATAATAACGTGCATATGAAAGCAATAAAATTTTAAAGAAAATTGTACTCAAACTTCAGACTCCTCAGTCAACATGCATGTTCTTCTTGGGAAAGGGTGCTCTCCAAAGTAAATCTTTCTGGGGTGCACTTTCAACAACTAGTTTCACAATACACATTCTTAACTCATTCCAGACACAAACTTGAGATGTAAAGTGAAAAGGGCTTAAAGAGTTTCCAGATGTAGAGGCCATATCCCTTTCAAATGAGTTTCTCCTGACTTCCTTTTCATCTAGCGAGAGATAATTACAAACGCCCGTGCCTATTTTTCAGCTTTTGAGGAGGGGGTAGGAATGCCTACACATGGTATCAGCCTGTCAGTACAACTTCTTGTGCCCTGCACAGGAAATCAAGTGGCAGTCATGCTGCTGAAATTAATTGTCTAACTACTCTTTGTTTTTTTGGATGTTTCTGACGCATTTCTGCACAGAAAAGCAGAATGTATACATTTCTTTACCAACAACAACAAAAAAATGCAATCCATTGGAAGTACTTGAGTCTAGTTTTCTGCAGCCATGTTTTTTTTAATGGCATGGTCTTCATTCAACAAAAACAAATAGTAATTTATTATGTTTTGTTTATTACACTTTAAACGTCTGCCCATCACTATCACAGAAGAAAACATTTATATTTTCTCAGAGTACATAAAGCTTCAAAAGAAAGCCCACTGCAGTTAAAAATCTGCTAAACCAGGTCTTAGATTGTTAGCTCATAGTAGTTAGGCAGGGATCCAAAAGAGATTCTTTTTCAATAGATTCTAATATGCAGAATAGCAAAATGTAAATATGACAACTGTGGTATACACTTTTAAAACTTAGAAGAGCAAAAATAAAATTAAGAAATCCTTCACTTTTCAAATTCTTTCCCATTAAAAGCATACTGTATTTCATTAACTTCCACCAAAGTATAGATAGTTTTGTTTTATTCAGACTAAGTGCATTATCACTGCCAGAATCATAGTGAAAATACCACAGACAGATGTGTTTAGCAGACCTCCAGCTGTTAGGATAGCTTAGGCAGGCAGTAGATCACTCTGGTACAGCAGGTCCGGCAGCCACTCAGATCTCACATTTAAGAAGAATGCCCTTATGCTAGAGGTTAACGAAACCAAGGGGAAACTGAAGTACAAAAACACAGTTTAACACCTAAAACGCATGTAGTAACACTAGAAACCCTGAGAATGTCAACATTGAAGACAAAGACGAATGGGTACTATTTGTAAAATCTGTGTTGAGTACACAAGGTGAAATCTAATTCAATGCTGTGATGAAGGACATGAGCAAGTACACTTAACCAAATGACTTGAGCTTCCTTCACACCTTTATGGTCTAAGGAATGTTAGACATTTTTATAACATTTAAAGGAAAACCTGCGTTAATCATCTGTGTTTGCCCATTACCCAAATAAACACCAACCATTTTTAGTTTCGTAGTTTAGGAAATAACATTAACAGCAGAAGAAATATTCCTCTAATATCCGTGTCTTGCTCTAGCTGCTCTGGTTTGAAACACTGCCAGGATTAAGGTTTTATGGTTTACCATTCTTGATCCTAGAACTAACTTAAATTTTCCTGACTATGTCCATCTGACTTAAACCATATTCCCCCGCATCTGTTGTCAGTAAAAATATACATGCTTACAAAGCTGATGATGCTACAGAGATCCTGTTTGACTGCAGTTCAAGTCAGAACAAGAGATCCATGGAGTATTTAAAATATTTACTGTGAGAGGATACAACATGGCTGCACCACATACATTTGACTGTTCACTATATGCTCAGAACCTTAAATGGCTTGATTTGGAAGATGAATGAACTGCTATTTAAACAAACCAATTCAAATGATTTTCTTCCTGGTTCCAAAGCGGTTTCTTCACTAACATTTTCTCCACATTTGCTCATACCACCCACACACATTTCAGGTTCATTTCCTGCAATATACAACTGTCTGGTCCTTGAGGTGTTTTCTCCTTGGGGTGCATGACAAATGCCCCACACTCATTCTATTTCAGGATAATGTCTCGCATGTTAGAATGGTTGAAATCAACTCTCCAAGACAATGAGAACTATTTGTTGTGATATTGTAAAGCCTAGCACAGGAAAGCCTTGGATGAAAGCCCGAAAAAAAAACAATTTGGCATTGTCTTAGCTAATTACCATGCCTTCTCCAAATCAAGAAATCTCTGAATGCACATCAGGCATTAAACACCTACAACCAAACCAGTACGAGGGACTAAATCTCCTTCCACTACTAAATACCATTTTTTCTGTATACTGTGATTTACACTATTTATTTTCATAAAGCATTATACAACACCCCTTCAGGCACACAAAACCCAACTGCATAATTTTCAATGGACATTTAAGTAGAAAAAACATCTCATGAATGGAAAAATATTTTGAAAGACCAGAATACTTACATTAATTTACAACATTAAATGAAAAGCGATCATATTTACAACCTTTAAATGCTCTTGGCGTTACCACAGACATCTGAAGAGGTGCCAGGGCCATCAGAAAATCAGGAAATCCACTTTTCACAAATTGATTTCTATTTGTTTTCCACAGTTTCCCAAGGTTTAGTCCGAGACCTAGTACTGCTGAAGTGCTGTAGTATCTTTCATCAGATGACAGCTTTCCTAGCATCTGAGTCTTAATTTAAAATGTAACTGGCACTTCATTAAGCAAAACACAATCACACTTTTGTTCACAACAATAAAAAAGGCAAATACATTCACACTTACAAAACGCAAATGTTGTTCACTCCAGCATACAGTTAATCCTGTTAGGTTTTTAAACAGGCAGTCAATGTTACTCACAATAGCTGGCTTTTACACCAATACGCTAGTGTCAATAACAAAAAAAAAAAATGCCACTGTTTGAAAACTTAACTGCCGGGAAAGTCGTCTCATTCCAAAAACCAATGCATAGTGAATGTAGAAAGGTTAGCACGCAGAAACTACATGGGATCCATTTCATACTCAGTATGGAAGAAGTGAAGTGGTGCTAACACTGCCATTTGGTAACAAGCACAGCTTGTTTCATATTCCTGAAAGAGTTTGCAATAAACAGGAAAAGATTTGTTACAGAAAACGAGCCTCGTAATTCCTGTTTCAGTAGGAACAACTTCCTTTATTACAGAATGGACTGGGTCAGGGCAGTTATAGTCTCAGTTCTGTGGAGCCGCATGTTTAACCCGAGATGGGTAGATTGGGGCGATTGTGTTTTCGTGATTGCTAGAGCAGCAAAACATTAAAGGAGTCTCAACGAAGAAAATATTATATTTGTGTTTCTGGTAGTTGAGAACACATTGTAGAGATTTAAACTTTCTGCTTAATATTTCACCCAGCTCTACACTGTTGTACCAGTAATTATATATTTTTTTACATTTAATACATTTGTGATTATTTTTCTGTAGGAGCAGCCCTTCTGTTACAGAATATGGAGTATGCATGGGGACTACAAATTCTTATTTGGGTGTAGGGTTCGAATCTGCTTTTGTTATGAAGACAAGGTTCTTCACTTGTATCCAACAACAGTTAAAAGAACAGCGGGAATTTACAACTCGACTTCTTGATGCAAGAATGCATTATTTCAGATTCATGCCAGGACAAAAAAATAGCATTAAAACAGCTTATCAAACATCTTAAAAATGATGACTGCCTGATTAGGATCAGTTTATGAAGGAGAACAATGAGTTACTTGTTTATATAGCCTGTATTACTGTAAAGAAAGAATGACGCTGCTGGTAGCAGTTGTATACCAAGAAGTCTCTTGAGTTTCGGTATCAGAAAAAGATCTCCACTTTAGGAAAACTGATTTTACAAACTGTTCAAAATATGGAACATGGGTTGTGTAATACTATGATGTTGAATTTAACTTCAACTGCAGTCATTATGATTATATTCCCCCCACTATTTCTAAAAATGAATTTGTTTATACAATGCCGAGTTTAATGTTAACAATGCCCTTTACAAATAAAATCACCCATTTAACTATGGCATGTGTACTTACAAAGGTGAAAAGGAAAATACTTGACAGACAGGTCTATATTTATGGACAGCAAATTTATGAGAGTACCACACAGATAAGGCCAAAACCATAGTCTTTAAAACGACAGTCAATCTAAAAAAAATCCTCTCGCAAAAAGTCTTCACAAAGCACTTAAAAACGTCACAACCTTCGTGTCAGTAACAGTTGCTTAACTGGAATCCTCATTTATTCAAGAGGACATTAAACATTCCTGAGTCTTTGGTGCCCTCTGGCGGCCGACTAGCATTATACGTTAGAAGACTGCCTTGGACTTCAATCGGCAGCCACAGGAGCTCGATGGCCAGAACGACCTCTTTCTCTGCTGTCACATTCCTTATAAGGTGGGCTGATGACAAAACGTGCTTTCCCCACTTATGAGTGTTATTTGCATTTTTTTTTCCCTGTATAGACTAAACATACAACAGAAAACAATTATTTTTCACACATTTAAAGATGGGTTAGTAAGTTAATAGCATCTCTATAGAGCTTTTCATCTCAGGGATGTTACAAAACGCTTTATGCATAGAAGAAGACACTTCTTCCACCAAAGAAGCACAGCGTCCACCTGGGTGACATGGGACAGACATGACGTACCAGCAGCCCCACTACATAGCAGAGGAAACTGCTTCAGGCTTTGATAGAGTAACTTTAGGGAGGCAACATTGTACGAGTCCAGCGTGAAGTTAGCTAGGCCACTTAGGTAAACACACCTTCTCTTTCACGGGACTTGTGAACTGCCTCAAGTTTAATTTCCCTTGCAAAGAACAGCAACTCCTACAGCACAGCACTCCCCATCACCTCCCTAGAACACTGGTTTGATCATTCAGGTCCAGAGGTACCCCTGGAGCTCATGCCTTTCCCATCTCTACCTACAGCAGCTACATGGTCTTCCCTGGAGATCTCCTGTCTCAGTGCAGACCAGGCCCAAATGCTGCTGTCAGCAACCTACAAATTTACAAGTTACTGTGTTTGTTAAAATTATTCTGGAGACTAACCCCCCCCAAGTAAAGTGTGTTTCCAAACCTACCGATCGTAGTTCCATCTTCTCCCATTATGCACTTCATGGAAGTGATGATCTGCTCCACCACGGGCGGAGACATCGACGTGGCGTACACCGCGCTGTGAGAATGCGTGCGGAGATAGTCTATGAGCTCCTGTGGAGAGACCAACACACAACATTGGCCTTCCAGCAACCTCCACGCTTCTTCAGTGAGGGTCTCGATTTCAAACCAGGCCTTGGCAAAAGGACACGTCTGTGCCAGCAAGAAAGTGAGGCTGTAGCTTATTACAGCTCATCTTAACTAAATTATAAGAGCCAACATTTCTGACAGCCTCCCACTCAAGGCAGCTTTCACAGACACGGGTTTGCAAACCATAAGGGGAATTATTTACCTTTCTTCCGCCAATGTATCCTCCCGCTGCCCCGAAACTCTTTGTGAAAGTTCCCATCATGATGTCAACATCTGTAGGGTCCAATCCAAAATATTCCACCACGCCTCTTCCCGAAGGTCCCAGTGCTCCAATACTGTGGGCCTCGTCAAGATACAGGTAGGCCTTGTACTTCTTCTTCAGAGCAATCACCTCTGGCAAGCGCACAATGGAGCCTTCCATGCTGGAAAATACATCCAGTCCAAGTCATCACACCAGGTTAGAGCTACAGGAACTTCTCACCCAAAACAAGATGCAGGAGACACTAAACAGCACAGTACAAACTTGCGTTTTTGAAAAAAAATCTTACACCAGTTCAGATCAACACTCTTTCTGCCCAACTGCCTTTGATAGCAGATCATGAATTATTCCTCTTGCTCAAGAACTGCCTTTTTTACCAGGTACTGTGGCACTGTTGCATTTCAGGAAACATACTTAACTACTGTTCAGGCGCCAGATGGAAACCTAAAGCACAGAACTGCCAACTTGGTGGTGGAAGGTTTCAGAACAAAATACCTGTAAATTCCTTCAACCAAAATTAGAATCTTCTTCCACGGTCTGTGAGTCCGGGGCTGTCCATGAACAATGGCATCCCTCAGAAGTTTCTCCAAACTTTGCATATCTTTAAAAAAAAAATTAAGACAATGCAGTGGCATTATTCTCTTTCTGGTAAGTTTTTAAAGAAGCTGTAGTGAAGTTCTTGTGTTGTCCAAAACTGCACTGTAATATTACAAACCTTTCCTGTAGAACCAAGACTAACATTGGTGTTAATTTCACTCAATTCCATTTTGGATTAAACCCATTAATTTAGTCTAGTTATTAACTTATTACTGGTAAGACCTAAACAAACGATAAAGTGTTCAAGTCAAAGCACAATGCCACTCACTGTTATGTTTGAATACTCGGATAGTGGAACCCGATAATCTGGCTCCCAGAACCAGCGACGCATGGTTCAGCTCATCACTCAGAATCAGGCAACCCTAACAGAAGGAAACAGAGTTAGTGCAAGTGCATTGTTAACATAAAGAGGTGACTTAAGTGTTTGCAAGATGTCACACCATTTCCTCTATGGAAGATGTGCGTTGCTTTGGAGCTTATTTATGCACCCTACTTTATTGATTGTGTTCTCTACCTGATCCCCAATTTAGAAGAGCCAGTACCTGACCGACTGAGCTGCTGTGTGCGTTTTGAACTTGGGAAATTGAAGGTACATGCATCCCGTCGGGAAACTGCAGCCCAGAGCAGAAACAAGTGCACAGACCGGCACAGGATAAAGGCTGCCACTTCAGAGTGTCTAGGCATAAACTACATGCAGAAAGATTTACACTATCAAAACTATAAAAATGCCTTCAAACAAATTAGGGCAGGACTAAACATATTTTGACTCATTTAAAGGAAACCTCATTACATTACGTAATGAGTAACAGAAGAAAAATAAGCACAGGAAACTTTCAGGCGAAACGGTCTTCCTTCCCCACAGTCCAACCGACACAAAAACAAGCCGTGCCTTTGCCAAGACAAGCTTAGAGAGATCTCTTTCACAGGCACATTTTGCAGAGAGGAAACAGAATTAACTACAAAGGATTCATCGGCTTCAAAACAGGAAGTTGTGTAATAAAGACTACGAAGGTATCAGTGAGTGACAGCGCTGCAGACCGTTCTGAAATAAGAGCTACCCCTCAGCTAGCCACTACTCAAGACCATTCACTCTATTACAACTGCTTAAAAATAAAATTACTTTTATGCACAAAAAAGCATTGAGATGCTAGTAAGTCAAACTGTTCCTTGAACAGTCTTCTAACATAGTATTCATCTCGAGACATTTCTTTATTTAGGAATCATTTAAACCCTTTCTCCAGAGTGTAGAAATGTGCAGCATGTAAAGTGGGTGTGAAAAACATTTTAGACAAACATGACATCCCGCTTTAAAGAGCCACAAGAAATGTAGCTACAAAGAACACGAGAACAACACCACCTACAAAGTCTACAAGCAAGGCGGCGCCAAACCTTTCCAGCAAGAGCAGGGATGTTCATTGAGTTTGTAGCAAAGCCCATGCCAAAGGCCATGGCAGCTTCGACCCCCAGAAACCTCGCCACTAATTTCTCCAGCTTTTCGTGACTGTCCAGATTACCTGAAGAAAAAAAAACAAAACACAAGTGCCGTTTTTACCGTTCGTGTTTGCCGTTACACCCAACCAAAAATGCCAGCTGTGCATTTTTTTTAAACATCTGGGCACAAATGGAGGGAGGATTTTCCAGATGGCTCAGGTTTGTGTGCGCAAGAACACCAAAACTGAACCGAACTTAAGACCTCAAGAAAAGACGCCCTCCAAGCACCAGACAGATCCAGCTCACAGTCGCTCTGCCACGCTCCCTGCTGGGGCTGTTCTTCCTGGTGGCCTGTGCCTGCGCAGTGCCTGCCTGCAGGTGACTCACCCATCTCCTGCCTGGTGCTGGCCACTCCAGCTCCATATTTCTTAGAGATTTCTGCAGCGGCATCAGCGCAGATTCCAGTATTTTCAGCAAATCCCAAATAATTGTAAGACCCCATGTTAATTACACCTTTGACAACTTTTCCTGTGTACCTGCAAAATGTTCAAAAAAAATACCATTAACGAATGTAAGTTGTCCCACATTTCTTCAGAACTAAAAATAATAGTATTCTGGCCTGTATTTTCCCAAAATCTAAACAAACGTGAAGGTGGTTCCTCTAAGTTCATGGACATATCCTCTACATTTATATAAAAAAAAACAGATCACTCACTTAAATGTCCAATTGTAGTCATGGGACACCCTCTCCACAAGGTCAAACTTTGCCCCAGGAACACTGCATATAGGCCTGTTCCAGCTGTCTCGAATCCTCATGTACAAGTTTCTTGTGTAGAAGTTTTCAAAGTCCTGATAAAGTGGAACAAAATCCTAAAGAAAAAAAAACACTATAAATAACGTGACTGTCATTCTTTAAAAAAAAAACATTATAGAAAAAACAGCATTTCTTTATTTATGGAAACTTAACAGCAATTGATGTAATATTCAACATCTCATCCTGAAGAGGTGTGGTACATTAGTACATACTGTAAATAGATCATTCCAACTTTAAACACAGACCGGTCTGTTTAACCAACAGGAGAATGTCTTGTTCTCTAAAGTTTCCTTCCATTCCAATATCCCTTTTGATGTTACCCATAATCTTGCAAAATGAAAATGTGGATAAATGCTCCTCATATGGAAAGTGATTAAAATTCTGAAATTTCCAGAATGTTGAATTATATTGAGCTGCAGCTTTTTTGGTAAACATGCTTCTAAATACCCTAAGCAAATGTGCTATTCTCTTGCAATTTTTCCTAATGTAATCTCATTTACCTAGATTTTTAAAAAATATAGGTATCACCAATTATTAATATACCCTCCTGTTTATCATACCCAGACAATCATGTGTTTGAACAGTTCTGAACCCTTGGACTGCACAGAATGAGTACGCGAAGCGGACTCCTCCAACCCCACCCCACCCCTGAGCAATTTGTCTTAACACATTCAGCTACCTGCTCCCGGTGCTGGAGGTGCTGGAGCGTCCCTCACTGCCAGCCCGCATGCCTGTGAGCTCCAGCAGGGGTCACCAGAGAGACCAGACCAGAGAGAGGCCCGGCCGACGAACCCCACTCTACGCTAGCTCGAACCCAAGCTCACAGAGCTCCACCTGCGAGCTCGAGGGAGTTCTTTTCGCTAGTTTAAACCACAACAGCCGCTTGCTAAAGCCAAAGAATAAATTACCTTTTGCTCCTCCCTTTCTCTGGCGATATGGCATTTCTCGATCTTCCATTCCCTCATAAAATCCCGCAGATACCCGAAGAGCGTGAGAATGCCATAACCCATGTAGGTGAGAACAGCAACCAGCATCGGAGTTTCTTCGAACGATTCATTGAACGGCCTCTTGTACAGCCCCCCATTGCACGCAATGTGATGAACCTGATCAAATTTGGAAAAATGAACAAAACCACTTTAGAAAAAAAAAAGTTATTCCTGGGGACTTTGTAAGACAGTGTCATTAGAACATTTAAAATTCAAACTGTGATTCATACAATAAAGTAACAATTTAATCAACTATCATTACTGTGCTAAAGCCTTGACTAATTTTAAATGACTCGGTTTGCAAACTGCCTTTTCATTTGTGTGTAAGTGCTGAAATTTCAGTAACATAAAATACGGATCATTGGTAAACCACACATGTACAAAATGTCCAATTAGGAAACAAACACTATACAACTTCCACACAGAAAATGAGGTTTTCAGATATGACACGTTTGATTAAATTACACATTAAAGTTATTTTCAGAGAATAGGATTATCGCTCGAGATCCAAAACAGGAAAAGTTAATTCTGTCAAACATGGAGCACCTCAGATATACTTTTCAAATGAAGGAAAGGAGGGGAAACACTTTTTATTTGAATGTGTTACTGAAGGTTAGCTGGTTCTTTGTTCGCTAAATCAGGTAAAAGCCTGTCCCGAGGGCCTTCATTCAATAGACTATGTACACAACGCACAGAGCTCGTATTGTTCTCTCCACTTTGCCACACAAACCAGTGAGGCTTGGAGAAGGAGACTAAAACACAGCTCGAGAATGCTTGAAAAGTACAGGAGGGGAATGGGTCACGCCAAGAGACATTAAGGTTAACCTTTGAAAATGTGACGGATTTAAACCTCACACTGTAATCATAAACAAAGTGGTCAGACACACATTTGTCCTATATGCTTAGCTCTGGATTATATCAAAAACTGGATCTACCAGAGTGGCAAATTACAAGGACAGTGTGTATTCACCTTCAAGCCAGCCTAAAGGAACTGTTGGTGGGGGGAAATCAACACTTATTTATTTTAGACCTAAGAGTGGTACTTAAGATAAGATCACTTTATTGGCCATATACAATTTCTTGCATTAGGAATTTGTCTTTTCGCATACCCCAGCTTGCTCTCCATGAGACATGCAAACAGGGAAAGAAGCTTGGGGTCAGAGCGCAGTGTCAGCCATTTATAAGGCACCCCTGGAGCAGCTGGGGTTAAGGGCCTTGCTCAGGGGCCCAACGGAGAAGGGTTCCTCTGCCGGCCACGGGATACGAACCAGCAATCTTCAGCCACAGTCGCAGATCCTGAGCCACAGAGCCACTGCTCCGCCCCAGGTAATTCCAAGTGAGTAAACTTGCTTTTCAGGGTTAAAAACTGAACCACAATTAAAGTTTTAAGCCCTTCATATCTATCCTTCAATACAACATGCATGACCAATTGCTTTGTGCAATAAAGCTCCCATAATACAGCTTTGGTCCAACATTTTAAAAACCATATTTTTAGTACTGACAGCACCAGAAGTCAGCAGCAAAATATTTTTTAATCTTAGCCATGGGAAGAACAGACAGGCCCCCTGCTCTTTTGTTTCAGATACAAAGAACACTGCAGTTTTATAATGACTGATAAAAACCTGTATTACAAACATAAACCATAAGACACTGTACAACAATGTTAGTCATGAGATGTAGATTTTCAGTAGAGAAAATCCTGTAGTTCGATGTCCTACGTTTCTAGTTAAACAACATTAAAGAACAGCTGCTTAAACAAGTACATGTGACTAGTCATGCCTCAGTAAGAAATACCCCAGTGGCTAGCTGCAATGGCATTGGTATGAACAGTCATTTCAAGGAAATCTCCAGTAGGAACTGCTGATTCTGCTTTATTTCAATCACTGTAAGGCTAATGAAAGGCATGTATACATAGTGGCATTTTATTAAACAATGTAAATTCTTTCTTTTTTAAATCTCCTAGACTTTTGACATATGTTCCCCCCCACAGAAAAAAAAATGTAATTGGAGGTTTTACTTCTGTGGTACGGCCAGCTAACGGAAGGAAATTTGCAAAGCTTCCTTCACTGTACTTAAGAGTCAGAATATCACAGAAACGGGCCTCCATCGCCACCCGAGTAGCGCTGGGGCAGAGCTGGGCGCTGTAAGAAACAGCTTCTCAGCTGGTCACGAACAGTACAGTGCCAACAGTGGGGGGGAGAGAGATCCTGAAGGGCGTGTTCACTCTGCATCTGTTCAGTTTCTTTCCCTGTAATTTTTTTTCCCAGCTGATGCTCAACAGATGTGAGGAATGCAGGGCTGGGGCAGCCGCAGCAGAAGAGCTCCCAGCGCAGGCCCAGCCCGTGAGGAGTCCGCAGGCATCCCGTTTCCCGGACTGCCAGTTCCCGGGAAAAACACACCGCACTCCTCACAGCCAGGCTGCACTTCCTGCGCTTGGACTGCAGTCACTTACATTTTCAAGTTTCTGTAGCATAAGCAGAAGCAAGTCTACTCTTCCCTAAAAAAAAAAAAAAAAAGACCACAGCAAAGCTCTGTTCAAGCTACACTTTCCAAAAAACTTCGAACGGGACTCTGTACCCTCAGACACCACCGCTGTAGGCCAAATATGATCAACACCATTTAACAGAACAAACCTAACAGTGTCTCCGTCAAGGGAAAATAGGTAAAAATTCAAACTTTAAGTGGTCAGAACTACAGAGAATTGATCCACTTAACTAGATATCAATACATTTTACACCCCCACTTTTTGGATTTTAAAGATCAGACAAGTTTTAGAACCGGCAATAACTTGGGATTCATTCCTGCTATGAAGCCAGTCTCTTTCTCTCCGGATGGGTAAACTTTAACACAAGTTGACCCAAGTTTTTTTTTTTTAACAGCAAACTTGACATTGGAAAAGTTAACAAAATAGTTATCCCTAGTAAACAATGCTGAGTTAAATGCTCAGACGGAGAGCAAAAAAAAAAAAAACACAACAAACCAAGAAAACAGCCTGGCCGAGTTTCCGGTGTCAAGTTCGGGAACACCAGAGGATTTCCTTGAGACGTGCGGGGACGGTGTCAGTCCGTCCCAAGCGAGCGAGTTGCATAAACAATCCCG